TAAATCCCTGGACCCTCAAAATGTGCATTTAAAAAGGCACAATTTGTAATAACACCCTTTGAACCCTTACCGGTGTCGTCAGTCCCACTATGTAAGTGCAACGGGGATGTGCTGTAAAAGCTTCAAGGTGAGCTTGTGCTTATGGGAGCTGATCATAAATGTCATGTCAATGTTTTGAACTTCAGTCCAATATTTTATAAATAACACGGAAGTAAGGCCACAGACTCACCCCTCCATGGGACCGTCATTTCACCATAAGTGCAACGTAAACACATGCATCAAATCAGATGAGGTGTTATGATAACCAGAGCCTCTTTTTCTGTTGGAGAAAGTGTCATTGTCTTCTCTCATAAGTCCAAGGATCACCTGACTCGTGTGGATGGGAACTAGATTCTCACTGAGATCTTGGTGTAGAGCAGCTGACACTGATCACACAGAGCTAGGAAGACACCATCCCCCAGACCACTGAAAAGGGCTCTGTCACGGAGTCTGGGCTCTTCCCTCTTGCCCGGGAATCCAGAAGTCTGCCCTGCACTGGCTGTTCTCACCAGTGACGCCTTCCTGGTCGCTTCTCACTCGTCCCTGTGGGGATCCAGTGAGAAGGGGAGGACCCCACAAGCTACAGCCAGTTGCCATCTGGAGTCTGCTGTGTGGCGTCAGGGCCAGCTAAGTGACAGAGGCATCAGCGTCCCATCCCTGGGATAAGAGTCGGGACCGAACCAAGTGGAAACAAGGACCTGGTGTGGGACCTCCCTGGCTCATACCACACAGTTCATATGCTGCGGTTAGGATTTGACAGGCAGACCAGAACATACAGTGGTGAAAATTACTGGTCTCCGCAAGTGGGTGTAAGCTCCAATCCCCGTGATTTTGCTTTACCCAGGCCAGGTAACTTCTTGAAGCCTTGATTTATTCCTCTGGAAAGGAGAGTTTTTATGGATACTTTGCTCTTTTGCTTTTAGTGAGGCATAAATGCAGTCATTCTCATAAGCTTCTTAGCAGGGTTTCTGGCCTAACTTCTGATTTATTATTATTATGTGACTCCTTCACATTGGCCTTTTTTTTTTTTTTTTTTTTTTTTTTTTTTTGTTTTTTGAGACAGGGTCTCACTATGTAGTTGAAACTGACGTAGCCCAGGTTGGTCTCCAACTCACAGCAATCCTCCTGCCTCAGCCTCTGGAGTGCTGGGATTACAGGTGTGCACCACCATGCCTGGCTTGGCCTCATTTTCAAAAGAGGAAATTCAGGCTCACAAAATAAATTCTCCCTGGTCTTCAGCAAGTCACAGCATGAAGAGCACAGATTTGTACCCAGGTTTCTTACACACCCAGACTGGCTCCTGGTGTTATGGAAGGAATTGGCAAGTGACACACAGGGGCAACAGAATGGAAGTAAAATAACAAAAGTTTACTCCATCATTGGGGGTTGGTCACACCTAATGGCCGTGCCCTGATCGACCCAGTACTGGGCTACAGCTCCTTCTTTTACAGGGTTTTACAGCCTTGATCTCATTCAGGTGGTTGCATTTTACTTTCACAATTCACATTGCTGATATTCAAAACATGGTGGTGAAACAGTTGAATTTCAACCGGGATGCAGCACTTCCTTGTTAGGGGAGGTCACCTTTGAAATTCTCTAGTTATCTATTCTAGCCCAGGGGAAGGGGGCCTGTCTGGTCAGCAAGGTTAACAACGGTTCTTTTCATTTACAAAACTTTTGAGGGAGACTAGATGCCTCCAGTGCCTGTTGATTCTGAATGAAACAAAGCAAAGGGCAGACGTTATTTTACATTGTGACATTTCATAGGGTTCTTTGCTATTAAAGTGTTCTCTATCACTGGGATGACCGGACTTTGTACTGCCTGCTTCTCAGGAGACTCCTGAGCCCAGAGAGCTCGCTCCACATTCAGAACCCACAAAAGCAGTGCCTGCCACTGGGCCTGTGGATTTCCCCATATTTTAGCACGGCATTCGATATTGCGAGAAGCACTTTACCAGAGCCAGGGCCTAGGCGGAGCATGGGTCCTGCTCTGCCCTTGCATGCGGTCAAGTGATGGCATTTTGTTTTGACTGCCCCTATCCTGCATCCTGAGCCTGTTCCGGGCATAGGGACACAGGAGAGGCCACAGTGAGGGTCGTGGCCTTCTGGAGCTTGCAGTGCAGTGCGGAGAGACAGACAGTGAATAAGGACGAGGGTTGGTGGCAGATTGTTCCTCAGATGATGATGACAGCCCACATGCAGTGTCCCATGATCTGGGCTCAGAGCCTGGGGTAGGGCCTGGGAGGTGTGGAGCGGACACCCTGAGTGGCAGGGGCTCACAGTGGCCCAGGGACCCCAGTGCCTGACAGTGACCAGGATGTGGAGGTTGGCTTCCCTTTCCCTGGCACATCATGCCGCACCGGGGTGGGAACAGAAGCCCCCGCCCTATGTTACTGGGCAAAGTCCTGTGGGGCTACTCTCCAGGGTCTTGGTATCCACAACAAAGAATTCGATGAGGTACACAGAAAATGCAGCAAGGGTGTGCATTTATTGAAGATGGAGAAGGCAAAGGCAGCCCAGGGAGCAGGCTCACTGTGGTACCAAGGATAAGCCAGAAAGGATCTTTTGCATCCAGAGTTCCTGGGCTCTCTCTCTTTCATGCGAATAAGGCATTAGGAAAGTCATCCTGTCAAATATTCACTTGGATGGGGTGTTTAGCTCAGTAGTTCTGCCACCTGCCTCATAAGTGCGAGGTCCTGAGTTCGATCCCTGACACAAAAAACAAAAACAACACACACACACACAAAGCAACACTCACTTGTTAGGCCGTGTACACACTGTCCTGTAGAAGCTTGTCTGGCTTCCTGCCATATGTAAATGAAAGATCAGGAACAGTGTCTTTTGATTGGCTGTGCCCATGTGCAAATGAGAGACTGAAAAGAGCACCTTCTGATTGGTCCAGATTCAGACGGAGGACTGAGAAGAGCTCTTTTCTGATTGGCTCTTTGAACAGTGATGATGGTGTTGCTCTGTTCTAGTCTCCTCTTTTCCTGCAGCTGATCTAGCCAGCGTCCCGTCCCTGTGACTGACTCCTCTCTCCACTGCCTGTCATGACGGACTCAGAGTGTTGGGGACCCCAAGCACACAGTTGGTGTCAGCAGAGTCTCAGAGCAGCTCTTCCCTCCGACCTTTTGGAGGGGCCAGGCCCCTCCATAGGTCAGAGCTCAGAGGACTCTTGGGACAACTCTAGCTGCTCAGTTGCACCCAGGACAGGGGTGAGAGTTGGTGGACTCTGCTGAGTGGATGTCAGAGGACTGGCAGAGGGCAGGGGGCTGGAGCTCTGAGAGTCAGATGGAACCTTGCGGACCACACTGGGGCCTTCGCTGTCACGCGTTGGGTCTTGTATGGCTCTGGGCAGCAAAGTGACAGCTCAGACTGTGTAGACTAATACCTTAGTCCTGGTGGAGGGTGGGAGGTGGGAGCAGGGAGGACCCATGGCTTCCTATTAATTTATTCAGGGAGGGAGGGCATGGCTGAGGCTCCCAGGTCTGTGTGGATGTGGCATGAGCGGGGTTCCCTCAGAATCCACAAGCAGCCAGGCCTGACCTGAGCAGGGAGCAGGGAAGAGGCAGTTGCAGGAGCGGGGACAGCCTGGGAGTGACAGGAGGCAGCAGGTGCCCACACTCAGGCTTTGGAGAATCCGAGCTGGAGGTGTGAATTTGCACAGGGTGGAAGTCAGAAGTCACCATGCTGGGTGAGCTCTGTCAGAGGACACAGAGAGACCCCGGCGAATCCAGACTAGGGGAGACGTGCAGGAGTCAGCAAGAGAGCAGGGTAGGGTGAGATGGAGCCTGGATGCCATGAAGGGCCAGGCCGGGGAGGCGGTGGCCATGAGCCCTGAGTGGATGGGTCGATAGGGAGGAGCCAGCACTGCCTGCTATGTTGGCAGTGCAGACAGCGTGGGGCCAGTGTGCATGTGGTGTCAGGAGCAGCCCTCACAGTACCCACTGTTAAACAAGGGGCTGGGGGAATTTGGACCGGTGGGCTTGACGTGTGGGTCCGGGAGAGGTGCTGGGTGGACACCCCGGCCGGTGGTGTCCAGTGTGCTCTGGTGCCTGGAGAAGAGGCTGCCAGGACTCCCTGGAGTAGCTCGGAGCTGCAGTCCCTCTGTGGTCCCTAGGAGGTGCTGTTCTAACTAATAGGTGGAGATGGTCACCCGAGAGTGACCTCGGCTGCAGTGGCTGGGCAGAGGCGCACGTGTGTCAGGTGGCAGCACTTCCACATGCTTCACACACATGTGGGAGAAGGACACACAGGCGATCAAAAGCGCAGTGAGGGCTTATATTAAAAACTTACTGCAGTGAAAGACACACTGTCACGAACCCCTCAGACTTCCCCTCACCGTCCTCACCACTTCCTGAAGCAGCTCTGCAGTCTTTAGCTGTGCTGTCCTGGCTGCCTCTGTGGCCTGAATGGATTCAAAACGTCTCCCTTTCATGGTCATTGCGATTTTGGGAAGAGCCAGAAGTCACACAGGGCCAGATCCAGTGAGGTGGAGGAGGACACAGAAACTGTAGTAGCATTTTGAGTGTGTGTGTCACTCAGGATCCACAGTGTGCCTCCCGATATCATCCCAGACCCAAGTGGAGGAGCAGCTCGAGTTCTTCACAGGTGGTGGCCTCCTGCAGTCCACTTGCTGAGGGGGCCTCATGTCCCCTGCCGTGGCTGCTGGCTGGGTCCTGACTGTCCTGGAGCTGCTGCAGGTCCCCGCGATCACATCAGGTCCCTAGGGCTTTCAGCGGTCCTGCAGGGTCTGAGAGGCTGCCCAGGGAGGGTCCATCCTGGGCTTGTCAGGCGTTGGGGCCTGGTCAGCACCAGATTAAACCCCAAGGTCTCTGGCCAAACCCACTTCCTGATCAGGTTCGGGGTGCTGGGGAGCAAAGCAGCTCACCCTCTGTGCCCCAGCTTTGCATGCAATCCTTTCAGGGTAGACGCACAGCCTTCTGCAAGAGCCTGTTTGGATGGGCACGAGGTCCTCACCCCCAGGCCCCTGTGATCACATCACTCTTCCCGCATCCACAGGACAAAACCACCCTCGCCCTGCTGTATGACGAAGGCTCCGACAACACCTACGACGTCAGGCTAAGGCTGACGACAGAGGCGCTGACCGTCCAGCTGCAGGATGTCGTGTGTGTGGGGGGAGCCCACCCAGGTGCCACTGTAAGTGCTCTGGTGAACGGGGCTGCATTCCATGTCCACGAGGCTGCTCAGGAGTGTTTGCTGGAAGGCTGGCACCTGGAACCCCAGCACACTCGGAGACCAAAGCCGGAAGGTGGCAAGTTCAAGCCCAGCCTGGGCAACTTAGCAAAACCCTGTTTCCAAAATTAAAACATTAGAAAAGATCTGGGCTGTAGCTCAGTGTGAAGGCCCTGGGTTCAATCCTCAGCACTGACAAAAAAAAAAAAAAAAAAAAAAAAAATCATGTTTTTGGGTGAGAAGCCCAGGCATGGTGAATTCAGTATCCCCGACTGTGGGCTTTGATGGTGGTGCTGTGGAATGAAATATGCACTTTCAGTTGGGTCCATTGATTGTCTCGCTTTCTTAATTTCATTGCTTTAAAGAGTGTTACTTAAAAAGAAAATGGCCCTCAGGACCACGGTATGAAATGAGACACCCTCTGATTGCGAAGTAAGATGACAGACTCAGAACGCTGTACTGGCTGAGGCAGAAAGGACACTGGGTCATCCACCTGTCAGGTGTCCTCCGAGGGCCACAGCTGTGCGTTGTGCTGACGCTCCTTCCCTCTGGACTCAGGCTGTGCCCTTTGCTGGCTGGTGGCGTGTTCTGCAGGCTGAGATAACTGGCGCGTTAGCTACAGCAGGGCACTGGTAGCTATTAGGGAAGTTACTTTGCAGCCTCCCCTTCAAAGCGTAGCACGAACAGGCCCACCGCAAGTCCTTCATCCTGTGTGAAAGCTGAGCTCCGTGGCCAGCTCCCTGGCTCCCTCTTGCAGGCCTCATGTCCCCAGCGCTCCTTCCTCTGAGCAAACCCATGAACTGCAAAACCGACATGCACGGGAGGCAAACGCAGCTGAAGGGAAGTTCATTGCCAGGGGTTTTTGGAAGTCCAGTGCTGAGTCCAAACTGGGCTGTTTTGGGGGCTGCGGCTCTGGAGACCCTGACTTACTGTTTCCCTGAATCCTCATGTCCTTTGGCTTGGGAATGCGGAGAGCGGAGTGCCCTGGGGTCTCACAGTCTGGTCCCAGGGCCCAGAGCATCAATAGTGCTGCCCTGGGTGACCTGCTGGAGACCCTGTCCAGTGTGTGGCCCGTCAGCTGGGTCCTGCCACCCAGCCTTGTGCGCACCCCATTGGCTGCACGGTCTGAGTGCCCTGAGGCTCCAGGGGGTTGGGACCATCTGCCCTCTCTGCCTCTTCCGGCCACACCCTGCCTGTGCTGTGTGGTGCTGGGCTGTGTGTATAGTTGCACCTTGCCAGCCTTCAGGAGTCTCGTGAACGTGACTCTGGTTTCTTTCTAAACATCCACAAAGCCCATGTGCCATGGTATGGCATCTGATCCCTAACTACATGTGAGGCTTCTTGTCTTAAATCCCTGTGAGGGGTGGCACTGGAGAAAGAGAAATGAAGGATGCTTTTGTAACTGTCTCTAAACTACTCCATAGAGTTATTTTTTTTTAAGCTGTGAGATAGTTCAGGCAACAGAAGGAGAACAAGAGAAGGAAGGAGGAGGAAAGTAAAGGAAAAAGGATTTCTAAAAAGAGAATCGAATTAAAAAATGATTATAGAGATTTTTCAAGTGGGAAGGGGATCAGAAGTTGGAGGGAGCAGGGAGGGATGGGAGGGAAGGGGAGAAAAAAGAATTAGGATGTGTCATGTGTGTGTACAACTCCCCATGATAAATGCAATCCCTGTGTATTGCAAACACTGTTGAAACTAATTGTTGCAATAATTAGTCATTGCCTTGGGACACCTGCCAGGGACGCCTGGCCTTGCTTCCCACGGTCAGACCCGGGAAGACCATATCGCCGAGGGCTCTGGTCAGCAGACACAGTCCAGCTCTTCAGGAAGCAGGGGTACAACAGGAATGCTTCATATTTTTATTTTTTATTTATTTCTATTTAGAAAAAATTTTTTCAGTACTGGGAATTGAACTCAGAACCTTGAGCTTGCAAGGCGGGCATGGTGCCAAGACCTACATCCCCAGCCCCTTCATATGTTTTCATTTAAGGAGTTCTGATAAGCGGTGAGGCACTCTAAGCCCCGAGTAGTGATCTTTGAATCCTTCTCCTGCGAATTTGGCTCAATATCCAGGCGGAACAAATTTGCACTCCAGTCTAATGAGGAACCGCCTCCTTATTTCGGATGGTAAATCTTGAATCCTCATACTTAGGGGGTTTTGCCTGGTTATTTTTAGAAAGCAGAGAGTGAGGCAGTGAATTCATTCTCCTAGAAACCACAGAGTGTTTGCTAATGGAAACAGTTCCCCAGCTCCAGGGAAGCAAAAATGATCAGGCTCCCCGAATCCTGCCCCAGTTCTGAAACTTGTTAAAACACTGCTGTCTGAAAGAAAGCCCAAAGAGTGCTTCTGAAAGTATTTTGTGAGTATGAAACAAAATATCTCAGAAAATTCTTTCCATCAATCTTTAACCTTAACATTTTGTCTTTCTACCAGACAAGCAGGAAGGCCTGCATTTCTCCATGCTGCCTCGCTGCCCGTCCCTTCCCTTCTCCACCAGTGTGTGCAAGGGAGGGGTTGGGGACAGCGGGGTCAGAAGTGTGGCTGCTTCCCGCTGTCCCTGAGACAGGAATGGACCTAGGTGGGGCCAGAGGCCCGGTGGCCTAATGTCACGATGAAATCTGCCCTGAAAAATGCAGGGTTTAAATTTGGCACCTGTCACAAATTTAAGTTTTGCATTGAGTTTAGAGGTGAGGGGTGAGGTCCAGCCCTGGAAGGACCTGGGTCTGCTGGGCAGAGCTGAGACGCCTTTTATCTAGTTCATCTCTGCCTCAGTAATTCTCCTGCAGAATGGCAAATGTTAAATAAAAAGGATGGGCTCCAGCCTAGCTGCAGGGAGATGGACGGACATCAGCCTGGCCACGGATGGACAGGTGGTTCCGTTTGGAACCCGCAGAAGTTCTGGTCCCGTGTGAGATCTCACTGTCTACTGACATTTATAGACCTCGCTTTGAATATGAGAGCTCTTGGATGCTCCTAGGTTCAAATCATTTCAGGGCCTTCACAGCTCTGTGATGTTCATTTGTACAAGCGTGAAGGCATGGGTGGGCTGAGCGTCTTGTGCAGGGCTGAAACAGTAGAATTCTTGGTGCTTGGATGAGGGCTTGAAAAGAGCGGCTTTCCACGGAGGAGACTGTGCACTCTGATGCGTTATGAAACCCGGTGCTTTCCAGTGTGTGTGAGGCTGACAGCTCTTCCTCCTCTTCCTCCTCCTCCTCCTTCTTCAAGTTGAACAGGGGTCAAGCCCATGCCCTCACCTAACTTTAATTACTTTTCAAATAGCCTCATTTCTTTCTTTTTTTTTTTTGGTACCGGGGATTGAACTCCGGTCCTTGCGCTTGCAAGGCAGGCCACTGAACTGCTGAGCTAAATCCCCAGCCCTCAAATAGCCCCATTTCCAAATACTGTCTCATGGCGGGCTAGGAGTTCAATGTAAGGATTTTAAGAGGGTTCATTCGGCTGCATGGCAACTTCCTCCCCAGGGCACAGGTTATCACCCTTATTTTTTAGGCATAGAGACTCCATTTTAGAGAAATATACATGGCTGATCCAAATTCACACACAGAAGGAATATTTTAGATGATTGTGTAAATAAATACTTAAATAAATGGTATTTTTGTCTTAGCCAGTGTAATGTATGACAAGCTCTTTTAGTCCTCCTGAGCATATTATAAAGCTTTCCACCCGTATTTTCCTTTCTCCTGCCCACGGGGGACATTAGTTCAGGGTCCTATGTGCGGCCACTCACTGTGCCACAGGTGACTGGCTCCAGGGCTCCCCTGAGACAGTAAGCATGTCCAGGCTGGCTCAGGTCTCCCCACAAAGCCGCAGATCTGAGGGGCAGATCCTGTCCCCTGCTGCAACAGCAGGGAATTCAGCCTTCTAGTGTCCCACTGCTTGGGAAAGCTGACCTAGAGGCATGCGGGGTGTGACGGGGTCCCGGAGCAGGCAGGTGGATTCCTGCAGCCCTCTCCCTTTCTGTCCCTTCAGATAGGGGGTTTGTGTTTGTCTGGGGCAGCAGTGTGTGAACGGCTGCAGCCTTTTCCTTTGCCGGCTCCTGCTCACCCTGAGCCGCCGTCGACAGGAGCTTCGAGTCTCTGTGCTTTAGAAGAAAGACTGCGGTCGCAGGAGGCCTCCTCCTACATGGGTGTCCCCACCCTGCCACCCGAACCTGCCACAGTGGTGTGGGCCCTGCTTTGTTGGGGTACAGTTGTGATCAAAGGTGACAGTATGATGCTGTGATAGAGGTAACTACTGTGACCAAGGCCACGTTAATGAACGCATCCACCACCCCACGGAGTTACCTTGTGTGCCTGTGTGTAATGTGCATATAACACAGTATTGCTCAAAGCCAGCGTCACCAGTATAACAAATTTACCTAGCTGGATCAAAGCTTTACAGGGACCATGCTGCCACCCCCACCCACACCCATGGCATCCCGGCTCCGCTCTGCTCTGCTGGGGTCTTCTTTCAGATGGCAGGTGCGTGTGAGATCACAAAGTTTGTCTTTCCATGCCTGGCTGCCTTACTTGCCATAGCCTCTTCTGGGCTCATCCATGAGGGCAGCTTCTTTTTGAAGGCCGAATAGTATTCCATCGTTCCCATGCGTTGTCAGTGTGAATAACGCAGTGCGGAACGGGTTTGACATCCTGTGTGCTGCTCCTGTCCCTGCCCTGCTCTGTTTGACTGCAGAAAATGGCACCTATTAGACATGTGCTGAACGTACCACGTGCTGAGGCTGCGGTGCCGAGAGACACTTGGGCCACGCGCTTCAGGGTGGGAATCTGAGCTCCAGTTTGGTTTCTTCCCGTCAGTTTCCATTGCGTGTGCGTTTGCTCCTAAGAGGACTCATGGACTTGCAGGCGGCTGCCGCGGCTGAGGAAGGCACACAGCTCTGGTTCGTGCCAAGAGCCCCGCGGGTCCCTCTGAGGTGCAGATGCCCTTCAGCGCACCCACTCGGCTGCCGCCTGTGGACCCAGGTCCTTGGCAGAGACCCCGGCACGATCGGATGAGAGCGGCTCAGACCTTGCCCACGGCTCAAGAAGGAAGCCTTGTGTGTTGGCCTTTGTGGCCCCCCGCGGGCGAGGGCATGAAAAGGTCGCTTTCTCTTGAAGGAATGCTGGGGACTGAAGAGCTGGGCTGAACACAGTGGAAGCCACAGAGACGTAGGGCAAAGAAGGACCCAGGGGGAATCAGCTGGAGGAAATGGTTTCATTTGACTTCTTTCTCTCCTGGCTTCTGTTGGTTTATTTCGTGCCGCAGTGCGGGACCTTCGTTGGGCAGCTTGGTTCAAGGCCGTAGCAGCCTGGGCCGACTGTTTTCCACCCCATTCCCCTCCCCCATCTCTTCCTCCTGCTCCCTACACACTTCCGTCCCACCAGGTCTTCCTTGTTCCTCCCACCTCTCCTTCTATTTATTTATGGAACAGAGCGGAGGACAGCTCAAGGCTTCGATCCTTACCACTCTGGAGTGGGAGGTTGGGCTCTTCCCTCAGGTGCCCAGCCCTCAGCCGTGGGGAAGAGATGTCCACTCCATGGGCTTCGGGTATCCCGGGGGGCAGGGATGGGGCGGGTTCCCCCTCAGGCTTCCTGCGTCCTGTGCCACATACTGAGGATGAGGGCGGTGCCAAGGTGCCAGCACGTGTTGAGAATTGTTACAAGTACGAAGTTATCCCTGTACATTTTGCTTTTACTTTCTGATCGTGCATTTTAACCTAAACTTATTTTGTTTTTCTAAAATTTTTTAAAGCACAGAACTGTTACACTCTGCCGACAGCCCGTGGGTGGCCTGGGCCTCAGCATAAAGGTAGGAGCACGTTTTCCCCTCTCCCCTCTCCACTCTAATGAGTCCAGCTCACTGTTTCCTCCACCATCTCTGTCTTCCAGGGAGGTGCCGAGCACAGAGTTCCTGTTGTCATTTCAAAAATATTCAAAGACCAAGCAGGTAAAAGTCACTCCAGCAACCATGTGTATGCTTTTCAGCTGTTTGCAACAAAATAGAGCTCAGAAGTGTTCCAGTTAGCAAATGTGCCTTTCACCCCAGTATGGAGACTGCTTTTAATTCTCATAGCCGTATGCTGTTTCTGAGGATGCTTTCAGTCCCTGACATGTGCTGCCTTGGTCATTTCTGCTGATCTGTCTCCTTAAGAGAGCACAAAGTCACCCCTCAGAGTGCAGGGTGTCCTCTGAGGATGCTGGCCACTCAGGGTTTGCACACTGAGTTCTTACGGTCTGTTGACAATTGGAGAGAATCAAACAGAGGTGGAGATTCCATGGTGCCCACAGGGGCCTCTGATGTAAAAGCCCATGGGCACCAGAAGTTGCCCGGCCCGGCTGACCAGCTGCTGTGTGCACAGCCGCCCTGGGCCGGTTGGGCCCAGTGACAGGTCTGGCAGCCTGAGTCTGCAAAGGAGTCAGGTTCAGCAGGGCGGGGTGGGGTGCAGTGAGCAAAAGAATGAGGGGGAGGGGACCAGCCAAGCCAACGCTCCCCACACTATCTCTTCAGAACGGCGGGCTGGGGGTGACAAACAACGCGCATGGCGCACGCGTTTTCTCAGGACTTTCCCACTCATTCCACCTGCCTTTCCCAAACCTTGAGCCTAGCGTGGAGAGAAAATGTCCTGCCACCCTGTCGAGCTTGGCTGGACATGGGCATCCCTGGCAGGGGACATCGTGACCACCCAGCCTGCTGGAGGCTGGAGAGTTGCAGCCCAGAGGTCAGGACGTGTGGTGGTCAGCTTGGTTGTGGTGACCTAATTGGCTGGGGAGCCCGTCAGGAATTAGCAAAGCACATTCCTGGTGTGTCTGTGTGGTCACGGACAGGTGCCCTCTGCTGCTGTACCTGCTCCCTCGCCTTCCTCTCTGGCACTGTTCCCTGCCCGGCTTCCCGGCCACTGTGAACTGAGAAGCTTTGCTCCCCCAAGCCGTGATGTCCCTTACTTGGAGCCAACTGGCCGTGGACTGAATCCCCTGAGCCAGGAGCCGATTTAAGCCTCTGCTCCTTTAAGTTGTGGACGTCGAGTACTGAGATCCAGGGAAGGGAAAGGACTGACCCTGGAGCTGCGGGCTGTTGTGCAGGCATCCATGTGGAAGGGAAATTTCCAGGTGAATCCCACAGCATCTCTGGATGTGTCTGTGGGGAAAGGAGAGGTTTTCAGGAACAGTTCCCAGTGGAATTTACATTTGTGCAAAAATCTGTGTTCACGAAAGCCATGTATATGAGCGAGAACAGCAATACACGTTCTGCCTTTTGCAGCAAGGTTGCAAGGTCTGCTTGCAGCACACAGAATTCTGAGCGCAGCCGGCTCTGGAGGCAGGAGGTGTCTTCCCAGGGAGACCCACACTGTCCCCAGGCCGGAAAGACAAGGAGGCAGGGCATGCCTTAGCTTTTCTGCTCTTGGGACCACCAAAACATTCATTTTACAAGAAAACAGAGTTTCAGCTAGAACCAGAGGTAGCAGGAAAGTGAGAGAGGTCTGCAGGTTCCCGGTTCAAATGCTCACCCTTTTGAGGCTTTTAAAGCATCTCAAAAATATTTTGGTTCCATCAGACTAAAGTTTTGCTGTGGCACATCAGGGCTCTAACTGTGTAGCTGATGACCTGGGCAAAAGCTCTGGACTCCCGTGCACTTGAAGTGAAATTCTGCAAGCAAAGCACAAATCAGTTTGCTCCGTGTGCCCGTGGCTCTGGGTGGCATCCTCTTAGTTGGTTAATCACCAGAGGGACCGGTCCAAGCACATTGGGTTCCCTAGGTCACCTCTGCCGAGTTCTTTTTCATTACTGTGTTTCAGAGTTTGTGGATAGGAATGTGAGTCTCGGAAAACAGACCCAGGGAGTAAGACTACCCAGCGGGCAACAGCCGCTGAAGGATTTTATATTCAATTCTGAGGGAAGAGTTGTTTCCCCATGGATGTCAGTCCAGAAGGCCACATGAGGAAGCTGTGGGGCTCAGGAGCCAGGCGAAGGGTCAGACTGAGCCCTGGGCACCTGGGGAGCAGAGGGCAGGGGCATTGTTGGCCAAGGCCTCACAGGGACTAGTCAGTGAGCGCAGTCCACCTGTCTGGATCACATCCTGGAACTGGCCCTGCCCACTGGCCGTGCACCCTGCCCTGCGTGGCTCTGCCCCACCCTGGCGCTGCACCCCAGGACCCATCCTGTCTCCAGGGGTAAATGCTCGCCACATTCTCCCCTTCTGCCTCTCTACCCAGAACTGCACCAGCTCCCCTTGGGGTGTGTGGGGGAGTAAATGCCCAGGCAGCGGTGATCACCCCGACCCCCCTGGACTTTGGGTCCCGGCCCTTCCCTCTGTGAGACTGGACAGCTGGGCATGGCAGGCTCTGCCTGGCGAGGGCAGCCCTGGCAGCTGGGTGGCAGAGGTCACAGCTTGCCACCATGCCTGCTGTAAAGATGGGCATGCATGAATCACCACAGTATGATATCAGTGACTTCTTCTCAATGTGCTCATGGACAAATAAACAAAAGAAGAAAACGTGTTGGCAATGCTGGCGTACTACGCTGCCAGAAAGAAGGATAAAGTGGAGTCATTTGCAGGAAAATGGATGTGCCTTGAGACCATGTTGTTAGGTGAACTAAATCAGACACAGCTTAAAGATCACATGGCTTCTCTTATATGAGAGACCCAAAGAATGAACAAATCAAAGATCAAAATAAAAGATCGATACTAGAAAACAGACAGATCTTCTGCAAAAGTGAAGGGGATTTAAAGAAAGACAGAGTGGAGGGGAAAATAAAGCTATATTATAAAGCTAATCAAAATAGCTTTGTACAGGAATAAAAACAGGCATATGGACCAGTAAAGTAGAAGAGAAAATCCAGAAGTAAACCCAAACTCGTGCCTGTACCTAGTTGCTGACCAGGGCACCGGGATGAAGGACAAGTGTCTTTGGCAGGTGGTGCCTGGGAAACCTGATTTCCACACCCCAAGGAAGGAAACAGACTTCTTGTATAGCATATGTATTTTGTAGTGAAAAAACTGAAAATGTCCTCCACGGCAGGATCTCTATTTAACAAAGGTTTCTAGTGTGATTCAGATACCACCCCAGTGAGTCCCCGGCTATGTACCCAGTGCATGGATATTGACGCACGCTAGGATTCGCTGTGGCCTTTCATGGCTGCCTGGGTCTCTGCGGATCTTATCCCTCCTCCCCTCCACTTCCTCTTCCCCTCTTCCTCCTCCTCTCCAACCCAAATAGTCCCTCTTGCTCAGGTCATTTTTCTTGACTTAGAGCAGACAAGAGAAATTCTTTATTTACGAAGAAGAATGGGGTCATGGCTGCACTGTTTAGTCTACTCGATGTCCTGTTCTGGGATTTATAAAGATAAAAGGCTTCTGAAAGTTATGGAATGAGTGACTCCCTTTCGGATAGGAGGTGTGGACATCCCCCACCCAGTGTACGCCTGGGGCGTGAACTGGACCTGGGGCCGGGGCGGGGGTGTGTGACGCAGGAATGTCTTCTTCGCACCTCCGTGGGCTGTGACAGGCACTGCCCCCTGTCCGTGTCTGCGGAGCCTCGCGGTGGATCCTGCGTGTGCGTGGCTGTCCCTGCTGCCGCCAAGGGCCGAGGTGGCATTTTATTTGGGTTCCTGGGGAATCTCTGAGATGCTGAGTCCCGCAGAGTCCTCGAAGGCTCCCAGAGCCCTGGCCTCGGCTCACTCTGTCCACGCTGGGCCCTGCTGCCTCCGCTTCTCCCAGACACAGAGCTCAGCTCAGAGGGTGGTGCGGGGGGGGGATCCTTCTGTGTCTGGGCTGGAAGAAGCTTCCACAGCTGGGAAGACGGTTTCCTCCTTCGGGGTGGGGACGCTGGAGCCCCGGGTGACCCCTGGCGGTGACCTTGATAAAGGCAGTGAGTAGAAGCCAGAGTCGTGGGGTCGGGGTGGGGTGACAGGCAGGCCTCTGGCCTTACAGAGTAGAGTCAGGGCCGATCACCGGAAATCTCCTTCGGTTCCTTAGCCAGCTCCTTCCCTGCAGGGTGTGGGGCCGCCTTTATTTTCAGTATGTCTCCATGCTGTCAACGACTAGAGCTGATATTGACAGTTGATAGCAAATCTAAAAATCACACTTTTTTAGAGCATTCCAGCGTCGAGTAACACGTTTTCCAGTGTTTAATCAAAGACCTACACAATGAAAACAAATCCATATAAAGGAAGAAGGGGGCAAATGTTTTGTGCTCAGGAGTATCGAAGGCGCTCACTGTGCCCACGACGGTGGAAATGCAGATCGGGACAGGCCCTGAAGGTGCTTTGTGCTCTACAACACGAAGTAAAGCACCTTGCTGCTGTTAGAGCGAGGGGGATGTGCAGTGGCCCCTTGTCCTTCTCCACTGTCTGTGCTGTGACAGACGTGAGCTGGGCTGCCCAAGTGTGGTGAGGAGGCCGTGCACGAGGAGGGAGCGACACCTGTGCCCCTCCGAGTGCGGTGGCTTGGCACGGGGCTCTTAACTCACTTCCCACCGCTGCCCATGCAGCTCCTGGGGCTGCGGGGGTCTCTCTCTCTCTCTCATCTCCCACAACATGTGCTGTGTGCACTCCAGGCACACGTTCACAGGCTCCCTGCACCTGCACGCACACACACTCGTGTACGCGTAAGCACCCCCACGTGCATGTGCAAAGTTGTGCACATCTCACACCAGCACCCACAAGCTCACCTACTCCCTGTGCACACACAAGCACATGTGGGCCTGTGCACACCTGTGGCACACACTCACCAGTGCACGTGCACAGTCCTGGTTGCAACCCGGGGCTTCAGGCTCTGTCGTGACAGCTGCTTCGATTCCCCTAACTCTTCTGATGCTTTTCCAACCCTGTAGCCGACCGCTCAGGGATGCTGTTCGTGGGAGACGCTGTTCTACAGGTCGGTCCTTTGAACTACATTTCCTCTTTGCTGAGTTTTACTTTGAGCTCATTTTAATCAACAACTGTCCTCAACGTTCTTAATTTGTCATCTGTTCAGGTCAACGGCATTCATGTGGAGCATGCGACCCACGGAGAGGTGGTGAGTGTCGTACGTGTCACGGCTCTGCTAGTGTCACACACCCTTTTGTTCTCGTTATTTGCACTGCGCATTGACACTGGCAGAGCGTCCTCGCAGGTTCAGTCCTAGTGCTGGAGAGGGCAGCTTGAGAGGCCAGGAAGTCGTGCCTCACAAGCCTCAGGGGAGTTCCTGCCGTGGCCACCCCACAGTGCATTCAAGGGCACTGACGTGCACTGGACTCCCGTGTCCCGGGGGTCACCCCAGTGCCCAAAAGAGAACCGGCCGGCGTCCTATCGGGGCTCCCCAGTCCACCAGCTCTGGCCACACTGCATGTGAGCACACACTGTGCCCACGGGGCTGTCCCCTGTAGGACGCGCATTGGACAATTGCATAGGATGCTGCGTGCGGCGTAGAGTCTGGCCAGACTTGGCGGGGGCAGAGCTGGCTGCTTCTGGGTGCTTGGTCCTGGGCTCTGTGTTCTGGGGTCACTGAGTTGCTCGTGGGGAGCAGGGGTTGGTTTTGCTCATGCACCGGGTCCTCTGTGATGACCAGGCATGGTTTGTCCCGGGGGCAGGTGCATCTCCTGAGGAACGCAGGGGCCGAGGTCACCATCACCGTGGCGTATCTCAGGGAGGCGCCATCATTCCTGAAGCTCCCACTAGGTAAGCAGAGCAGAGGGGTGGGAGGGGACAGGTGTTCACTGGCTGGGGGGGGCCACCTCCTGAGTGCCTTCCAGCCGCAGGTGTGGTGTCCTGGAGGTGAGCAGTGCAGCATGGGCCCTCAGGGACCTTGGCTGGACACTGTCTCTGCCTCCTTTCTGTCCCCATGATGGCGTGACATGCTCACCAGGCACACCCAGGGCTGCACTCAAAATGCCTAGGTTGGCTCAGGAGACGTCTGGTGCCAGTGGGGACAGTGACAGCAAAGAGAGCCGAGTAGGAGCTTGATGTCCCTGTCCTGTCCTGTCTGGGACCCAGTGTGAGAGGCAAAGCCCAGGTCTGGGGCCTCACCCATCCCGCTCACGTGCTTTTATGAGGAGACCTGGTCAGCGCCCTCCTGCAGAGGCAGTCGTGTGGTGCTATCCCCGTCTGTGCTGTCCTGCGCCCTCGCCGCTGGTCAGTGTCCTTGTCCTCCTCTCACCTGGTCTTCCCTCTCTTCCCACACCCCCTCCTGTCACTCCTTCCTTTCCTGTTGCTGCTCTCAGGGCCGTGGCTTCAGCTGCACACTGGATGGAAGGGGTGTGAGGCCCCCCATCCCTGCCTGGTCAGTTGAGGGGTACCTTGGGAGACCAGAGGATGACTGTTGCCCCAGCCCTGTGACTGTGCCATCCTCCTGATACCCTGCCACACGGCCCCTCGTGGCAGCCAGGCGAGGAGGTGCGAGGGGCAAGGTGTGCAGCGAGGGTAGTGTCGTGTGGCACAGGCCACAGGCAGCGGGGTTGTGATCCCAGAGATGCCGCTGGGATCTGGGAGCAGGGACTGCAAGGCGTGGGCCTCAGAACTGCTGGGGCCTCCAGGCAGCCGCACCTTCCAGGCTGAGATGATCACAGCCCAGCTCCTCCTGCAACCAGAGGGGCTGAAGGGAGGCAACTGGTGATGTGGACGGCAGTGTTCTGGGGGTGCAGCCAACCGTGCAGGCGAGAGGAGGGGAGAGGGAGAAGGAGGAGAGGGAGACAGAGAGGGCAGACAGAGACTGAGCAAGACTGTTTTAGACAGGAAGAAAGGAGGAGAGAACAAGCGGTCACTGAGGCTGTCCACCCCACGCCATCTTCAGGCGCTGAGGCCAAAGGAGCCCTGCAGGGGCTGCCAGGAGGAGTCCTGCAGGCAGCAGGACAAGGACGCAAGCCTGAGGGGACGCGGGGAGAAGCCGAGGCCCTCGCCCATGGCCTGGGACAGGCTGGTGGTGAGGAAGGGGCAGAATCCACTTATGTTTTGTCTCAGGAAGAGTGCGGGGGACAGAAAGGCTGCAAGCTGGCCACTGCATGAAGAAACCCTGGAGAAAGCCATTAAGGAGGACCGTTCACCTCAGCTCGGGCTGAGGGTGGCTTTGGCTTTTTCCCTCCACCCACGCCTTCCACACAGGGACCTGGCGACTGCCAAGCACAGCAGGACTGGGACACCCTGAGGAAACCACCAGCCGTGCCAGGGTGTTAGGATCTCCTGTGAGCTGCTGGCCGTGTCCTGCCCTGGCTGGCTCTGAGGCTGCATTCGAGAGAGCCTGTGGCCGGGTTCCCGGTCCTTTCTGAGTGCAGCCCCATGACCGGACGTGAAGAACAGGCTCCAACGCTCACATCTCTGGCGGCTCCTGGAAGCCTGGGCTGCGCACTGAGCCCTGGCTGGCCTCCCCCATGTGGCCCAGTGACTGGGTGCCAGGTGGAAGTGGGGACAGCAGAGCCGGGCATCGCAAGGGCGGCTGCACCTTCTTTGTGGGTCAGTGACTCCCTGGACAGAGCAGGATGGTGAGCTTTCCAGGGCCAGGATGAGGATCACGACAGAAGCCCTGATACTCCTGTGTCCCCTCTGGTCCTCAGCCGGTGTGCAGAGCAGAGTGAGGGGCCCAGCTTGGCACTGTCACCAGGGAGAGGGTGACCCCAGAGCTCTGCGTGATGCCCTGTGTGGAGCTGAGCTCAGCCTGGCAGTGTCTCGCTGACAGCTTGGCTGGTGGCAGTGCCGTGGTCTCATGAGGGCAGTCAACATGCCTGGAGAGCAGACTGCGTGGGTTCTGGGTGCCTTGGCTGAGGGAAGCATGCCCTGTTCTCTAGGAGTCCAGGAAATGTCTCTCCTCCTTTATTTGTTTCTTTGTCATCTAAAAGTGGTAAAGTCTTAGTATCTATAAAAAATTTAAACAGCCCAGGAGGCTGAGGGAGGAGGATTGCCATAAGTTGGAGGTCAGCCTGGGCTACATATTGAGTTCAAGGCCAGCCACACACATACACAGACACCCCACAGTGGCTGTAGTCTCTTCAAAGATTCAGGCAAAATGCTTACCAGGAAGGAAGGCAGAATCGCTGCTGCCTGCCTGGACTCTGTGCCCTAGGTCTGTGCCCTAGGTCTGTGCCCCATCTGCCTGCCCCAGTATTCATCTAGAAACGAACTGGCAATGTAGGGAAATCTCAGGACAGATCCATGTGCACTGTGTCAGCGGCAGTGTTTAAAGAATCGCATTAAGGGGAGCACGGATAGCCACTGAGCTCGAGCCTGTGCTTCCAGGGGTTTTACACTGATTGGACTCCAGGGCGTACCCATCACCAGGGGACCCTGTGCCTGTCCACCCTGTGTAGCATTAGAAATTATTAACATGGATTCTTTTTCACTACTGGGATTCGAACCCAGGGCTTTTCACATGGAGCTGCAGCCGCAGCCCTTTTCATTTATTTTGATTTTTTTTTTTTTATGAGACAAGATCTCTGACTCACTAAGTTGCCCAGGGTGAGCTTGAACATGCAATCCTCCTGCCTCAGCCTCCCAGAATGCTACCATACCCAGTTTAAATTTTAAATAATAGATTTCTTGTTTATAAACCAAAGAAAGATATTATAACTGCTCAAATTTCTCTTGAGGAATAGATTAAAAGTTGCCCATTCATCAGAAAGAAATGAGTGGAAGTCTAGTGGTTACACATCTGTAAGTTTAGATTTATTCACCTCTTCTCTGTTCCCTTCCTCAGTCATGCAGATCTAATGCATGTACGGCCCCTGGGATTTTTCGAGAGGAGAGCACAGTCTGTTAAATATGTAACTTTGCTCCCTAAGTAGTGATAAATTAGGACACAAACAGAGCTGCAGGTACAGGGCTGCACAGCGAACTTTTGGTGTCAGAAGAGCCGAGAAGGAGCTGCTTCGGAAACAGTGCTCTGTGTTAGAAGCCACGCGGACCCCTGGCGTTGAAGGGGACAGTTAAGGAAGCAAAGGGGAGGGCAGCTGCCCTTGGGATGCCCTGCCATTGCTCAGTGTGGTCAGGCCTCAGCCCCTGCCTTCCATCTCCCTTTCTTGTCGGATGGCGGTCGGTGCTGTGGAGATGTCTGGGCTCAGACACTGCGCAGCTGGGGGCAGCCCTGCGAGGCCCCGACAGCATTCAGTCAAGGGTGAGGGGGCTGCAGGGTCCACTTGTCCCCAAGCCCATCTGGGCTCCGTTGTGTGAAGACAGCACAGCAGCAGCGAGAGATGCCCCCCTGGCCCTGGGCCCAGCCCCTGCCCTGCTGCAGCCCCGAGGCGCTGTCCCAGCTCCTGCTCCGCTAGTGCCTGGGCCTGCACCGGGCTGTTCTCGGCTCCGCAGCCTCTGCCTGGCCGTAGGGTTTCCGTTTCTGTGGGGCGCAGTCCTGTCACGCGTCCGTGCACGCATGCTTGTGATTATGCCACATCTGCGCAGAAAGGAAGGCACCGGTGCTGCGTCACAGGCAGAACCACTCCGGCTCACACTGGGCCAGAGAATACTCAGGTGTGGACGACAGGGTGGATGTTGTCCAGGGGGACGGCAGGAGCCTCCTGTTCCAGGATGACTGGGAGAGGCATGAGGTCCCACGCATCCCGTGAGGCGATGCTGGCCAGGCTGGGCAGCACTCACCGCAGACACCCAGAGCCCAGCTTTGCCTCCAGTGCCAGCCCTGGGGTTGTCCGAGTCTGGTGGATCCTGACCTGTGGGAGGGGCCTGCTGGCCGTCCTGCCTGCCCCAGCTCTGGTGTCTCTGCAGGGTCCCCCAGGCCGTCCAGCAGCCCCAGCAGCAGGGCGTCCTCGCCCCTGTTTGACAGCAGCCTGCACCTGAATGGACACTGCAGCCACAAGGTAAGCTTGGGCTCTCACTGCCACACCCTGCGAGCCCCTGGGGTGGGCTGCTCTGACGGCCTGGAGCTCAGTTAGGTGTCACCCAGAGAACCCTTCCTCCTAGGGTGTCCGCAGTTGGCCATGCGTGGTGGGTCTGCACACAGGGTGAGTCCCAACCGGCTAAGGTCGGATCCCAAGTTCACTTCCGGTCACTGTAACATGCCTGCAGGTAACGTTGAGGTGACTCCTGGGGAATTTCTGTGGCGCTTGTGGTGAGCCCAGCCTCCCTCTAGCGGGAGGGATCATTGCCCACAAAGCCCTGGGTCATAAAAAGGATTTTAGTGTCCTAGCCACAGTTTAGAAAGTGCGTTACTGTTCATCCTAGCAAGTCAAACCGTCAAGTGACCACCTTGAATGTGTGGTGAAACCCTAAAATAACTGCTTCATAAGAGCTGTGTAATAGAGTTCTTGGTCATTAGGAATTCCCCTTAGCTTATATGTGAGTTATGTATGTGAGTTACACAGCAAAGAGTAAGCATCCAGGCGCTCCTGACACATGGCAACAGTCTTTTAAAAAATATATTTCATTAGTGCTTATTAAACCTGATTTGTTTAACCATAGGAAAGAGGATGCTGGATGCTTTAAATATGAAACTCATTTTTCATCATTTCAAACCCTTAGATGTATTTTTCCAAATAGCAAACACTGATAGATAACTAAAACCATTTTACAGAAGTCATTTAAGCAGCTTTAAATTTCAGAGATCCATATATTTTTATAAGGCCTAGAAAGTGTTGACCCATAATATACATGGTAGTTTAGAAAATTCTGATGGTGGCTGATGTGGTGGTACAGGCCTGTTATTCCAGCATTTGGGAGGCTGAGGCAAGAGGATTGCAGCAAGTATGAGACCAGCCTGGGCTATGTAGTGAGTTCAAGGCCAGCCTGAACTGCATAGCAAGATGCTGTCTCAAAAAAAACAACCAAAAAGAAAATTCTGATGGCTCCTAAATAAAGGGCAAACTGATGTGGCCCCAGCTTATTCAGTGCAGCTGTTTTATCCATCCAGAAACACGTCTGCCACAGTCTCTGAGACCTGGTATCCTCAGTAAGGGCTTACTTTGGTTGAGTTCCCTTAAGAGAACGAGCTCTCACTGTTCAGGCTGGTTTTGTTCTCTGTTTACAAAAGCCACCACGGTACTGGTCACAGTATTGGCACTGCCGGTGGCTGTGGAATTGTGGGGGTCAGTGCGTGACATCTCTGCAGCGGGGGGTATCAGAGGCAGGTGGTCTGGAAGCTGCCTCTGATGCTGGCCTTCAGCACCAAGCTTGGAGCCCGCCGCCACTCTGACCCAGTGTGTCCAGGCTCACAGTCACCGAGGCCAGGTGGCTGTGGATGTGGCTGTGTTGCCTCAGACATGGGACATGCTTGTAGGTGGAAAACCTGCAGAGTCACGCCTTGCAGCTGAAGAGCCACCAGTCTGCTCCAGTGAACTGCAGTGCCCCGGCACCCTGGCTGTGGCTCGTGCTCACAAAGTCTGGCTGTGGCGCAGAAATCCATTGCGACCCCTCACTGTTCAGCTCAACTCCCACTTTGCATTGGGAGGTTCTGCTGAGGCCGGAGCAAGAGTCCACCTTGGTACTCCACAGTGGCCATGACACACGTGTTCCAGGGAAACGTCCCAAGTCACACACCTGTTTGGGTGGGGACATTGGCCAGGGGGCTGGAGCAGGCCTTTGAGAGAAGAGGGTGGAGGGCAGTGGCTGTTATCAGTCAGCTTTTCCATTGCTGGGTCTTAATACTTGACATCTATAGCATAAAGGAGGAGAAGTTTGATCTGGCTCATGGTTTCAGGGGATTCAGTCCATGGTCAGCTGCTCAACTGCAGAAACATCTTGGTGAAACAGAGCTCCTCAGTTCATGGGGACCAGGAAGAAAAGTAGGAGAACAGCTCCAGAGAGGAAGGAGGAAGGACCAGCTATGGTACCAGAGGTACCACCCAGACCTCCGTGACCACCCAGACACCATGAAGGAGCTGCAGGGTGCCTTGAAATGTTGTTTACTGGGTACTAGATTCCACTATGAAAGCCTAAGTTACAGCTTTGAATATTGTTCTAATCTGAAAATTGATAGCATATTTTAGCTAATGTGTTTGCCCTGATGGCAGTTGGTATGGTGGACTCAGCAAAGCACACAGCAACAATGAAGGTGAGAAGTCCTTCTCACTGTAAATGCATTCACTGGGGTTCAAATGGTAACTAGAACCAGGCCTCAGTCTGCAGTAAGTTTTGATGAATTCCTATACTGGCTGCGGCAGTCTATGGAGATAAGTGTGTATTTCAGCGAATTTCAGTGAAATTCATGGTGAATGATGCATCTGCAGTTCCTGCAGGGCGGAGCTCAGGGTGCCCTGAAACACAAGCTTCCTGAAGGTTGGACCCCAACAGCAAGGCACAGGAATGAAAATCAATCAGTGTTAAATGCTACATCACTGCCCCTTTCCTACCGGGACATAGGCCATGCAATCAGCAATGAACACAGAGTGCTGGGAGGGCGGTAGCCACACCTCCGTCCCTGCTGTTCTCTTCATAGGGACAAGGGCTGTGGGTGGCCCCAGCCTCACTGTCCAGCCTCCTTGTGGCCTGGTTTGGTAGGAGGCTTTCCGTGTCAACTCCTAGAGCATGGAAAGGGGACCTCGGTGCAGAAGGGAGAGAGGGGCTTGTAAAGCGGAGGGAATGACAGCTCAATCGCCACATGTCTTGTGCTGTGCCAGCAGTGCAGTGTTGTGTGCTTTCCGTTGTCCCTCTCAGTAACTCTCGGAGCCAGCCAAGCCCCAGGACTCTTGGAAGCATTGCTGTGTGGTAGGTTACACCGGCTGCTGGGCTCAAACCTGTTGAGAGGAGCGGGTCTCAGCGTGCCCTTGCCCAAGGACCCACGATGGCTCAGCCTTAGCCAAGAAGATGAGGTCGGCCTGGCTCTGCTCACAGCCACTCCTACCTGCAAAGAGTTTGTTTCCAGCCATTGCCAAGACCCAAAGTCTCCAATCAAGGAACCCAGTGCTCACGGTTGGCAATTAGTGTCCTGTGGTTACTGTAATAAATTACCAAAAACAAGAAGGCTTGAAGCCACAGAAATGTCCTCTCGTTGGGAGCCCAGAAGTCCCAAGTGAAGGCGTAGGCAGGGCCACTCCCTCCAAGGATGTAGGACAGGATCCCCCCTGCTCCTGGATGCCAGGGCTGCAGATGTCCCCTGACCATGGCTGCGTCTTTCTCATCATTGCCTCTGTCCTCACAGCTACCCCCTCTTCTCTCACGGCTCCCCATCCTGCCATTGTCAGGACAGAGGGACCAGCAACTGGACAGCAGCCCATAGTCCAGGACCAGCTCCCTCTCGAGATCCCTGGTTCGGCGGCTCCCTTCAGTGTCATTGCCCGGCTCCGGGCCAGGGCTGACCCCTGACTCTCAGGCCAGTGTCCAGGCTGCCACCGTCAGTCACATACTAGCCTGAGGGACCATGACCATCCACCAGAGTTCCTGCTGGACTTCAGGGTGGGAAAAGATGAAAATATTTCAGTCCTCAGATGCCACGTGACTAGTTTTCCTTTGAAGAGCCCATTTCTGGTAGTTATCATTCTCTCCAGCATATCCTCATTTGTACCATTAAAACCCCTCTGCCCTTGCTGAGTGATGATTGTTAAGGCATAGTAGGGCATGGGAAATGCAGGACAGAGGCCTCTTGGGACCTGTGTGTGGTGCTTTCTGATAGGATCAGAGATGGCAAATCCAGTTTTGCTGTCACAATTAGCACTGTGGCCAGAACCTCAGTGCTGTGCCTTTTGGGTTTACAGCTGGCTCTGGCGATTCCCGTCTGTTACACAGTACTTTATTTTGCTTGGGAACACATGCCAGTGAGGAGGGTGGCTGGATGTTGTGGGCTGCACAACATTTGCTGGGGCCCATTCCCACAGACTGTCGGTGGGGAGCCTGTCTGGCCCCATTCTGTCCTCATGGTGTGAACCTCCAGAGCAGTAGATGTTTTGGGGTCTCCTGTGTGGAGCCCACAGTTCTGGCCGGAGACCATCAGGAAGGCCGGCCCACCTCCCCGGGGGTGAGGGTCCACAAGTCCCCAGAGCCCAGCCCTGCTCACAGATTCCCCACGTCCCTCCCTTCACATGCACCCGCTCCCCTTCTCCCCCAAAGGTTCAAGCGTCGAGCCCAGGCGGGTCCCAACATTTCCTCCTCAGACTCAGGCTTCGTGGGCCAGGTGCTCAGCAGAGAGGGCGGGGCGGACACCCGACCACTGGGAAGCTCGTGCCTCCCCACAGGGCAGCACATCGGTCAGCAGTGGCCTCAGTGGACGCACTCGTCTGGGCAGTGACTCATGGGAAGGCAGAGCTGGCCCCGCCCCACAGGGGTTCTGACTTTAGCAGCCCAGACCAAGGCTCCTCTTACCCCCGTGTACCCCTCCATACATCTCTGCTCCGACCCAGCCCTCTCCTCCTTCGAGAGAAGGGGTCTGCATTTCCAGCTTCATTTGCCCAGGTGGCTTCCTGCCACTGGAACCTGGCATTTATGGGCTGACCCTGCTGTCAGGTTTATCCCTTCTGTGGAAAACAGCGCAGTTATCGCAAAGTTCCGTGTAAGGACTATGGTGAACTTTAATCCCCTCTGTTGACAGAAGTCCCCTTTACACTGACTTTCCAGGGCTCTGTCTCTGGCCTAGAATCCCACTCGGGGCTGCCCTACCTGGTGCAGTTTTGAACCCTGCTTGATGGATGGTGGGTTGCTTGCCCAGCAGTCAGTGAGCCCAGGCCCAGGCCTCCTTGGGACGCAGTCGTGGTGTCCTGTGCCAGGCCCTGGCCCCAAGCTGGGTCTGAGCTGAAGCTTTGGGCCAGCCTCTGTCCCCTCCCACACCCCTATGGCGCCACTTCTAGTGCTGGGCCGTGTTCCCCTTTGAAAGTCCTGTCTGTGCTGCTTCTGCTCCCCGCCCTTCCTCACTTTTGTGCAAGTCACACACTGGAGGAAATCTCCTGGACTCAGTACCCACTCGTCTCTGGGTCCTGATGGAGTCGTCTCACGGCTCCCTGGTTTTCTCTGAACCCGAGGGCCCAGTGCTTCAGAGCCTCACCCTGCCCTGGCCATGTGCAGCACTCAGACAGCGCAGTGACGAGACTCTCATTCACTTTGCCAGGCACTGTCCTCACCCTCGGCAGATGACCCAAAGTACGAGAAGCGCTGGCTGGACACCCTGTCCATCCCTCTGTCCATGGCTCGGATCTCCAGGTACAAAGCCGGCACGGGAAGCCTCAGGTGTGTGACCATCATGGGGAGGGGGCTGGTGAGGCCGGGCACTTCTGCCAGTGCCCTGTGGTCCCTCAGCCACTTTGAGGCTTGGCGGGGTGTGAAGGTGCCCTGTGTCTGGCAGAGCGAGTGCTTGGGAAAAGTCGGGGATCAGGGAGCAGGGGCAGCAACAGGCAGACGTATGGGTCAGGGGTCAGCCTCGGGTCAGTGGCCAGGCAGGAGTGCTGAGGCCATGGCACTGGGGAACTAGACTCCCTCCTGGTCCGGAGTGGAGACCACGGTGGGCAGGGCAGAACACTGTCCTAGAGGAGCCTCCTGGTCCTGAGCTCCATGGCTCTCACCCCCACCTGATCCCCCGGGCCCAGGATGCCGCTCCACATCAGTGGCTGCAGAATTACTGGGTTGTGGGGTGTAGGCAAGGGCCCTGATCCCACTGTCTGGCTGATGACACCTGGGTCTTTCTTGTTTTAAGTAACTGCACCAAATGACTGCAGTTCCTCCAATTTGCTGAAAGCTTGCTTTTGAAAGACTGAATGCAGCTTTGAAGACAGCTCAAGACTGAAGGGTCCAAGCCTCAGAGGCAGGGGCAGCTGGCTCATCCCCACTGCCCCCACATGCTGCTGCTGCCTCTGCCCACATCCGGGTGGAGCTTGGTCTCCTGTGACCCTTGGGTAATGTGGGAACCGTGCACCACAAACCGTGATAATCAAAGAAGAGGCAGTGGTTGTGCAGAAGGCCAGAGATTGGGTGAAAAGCCTGTTTTCTGCTGTGCAACAAGCCTGGCAAACTGGTGGCTACCTAAGGCAAGGGCTCTGTCTCAGTGTGGGGTAGGAATCACCTGGCCAGGCTGTGTCCTGCTCAGGTCTTGGGAGGCCGAGACCATGGTGCTGCTGGGCTGGTCCCATCCCAAAGGTTCACCTGGTGGCAGAATTCAGGTCCTTCTTGTATGGGACTCACAACCTCAGCCCACCCGATGACACCTGCTGCAGGTGTCCCTGGTCCTCCTCTCCACCTCCTGCCCAGATCTCCGGCTCCTGCACTTTGACCTCTTTAAGCTCAGGCCACTTCAGGCATCACCCTGATCTAACATCACCTTGGCTCCCATATCCTCCCCAGCAGCACTTCCTAAGGGCCGGGTGTGAGAGGGAATCCCGCTAACTGCATGACTCGGCCAGGTCTGCCCCTGCTGAGTCCATCCATGCTCAGACTCACCACTGGAGTCGGGGCTTCTCAGCGCCGGAACCTTGGACTACAGGTTCCTTCTGAACGCTCTGAGCGAGGCCTCCAGGGTCTGGACTGGAGCAGGGTCTCCTACGACCAGCACGTATGTGTTCTATCAAGAAAGGAAGCAGAAGGTCCGCCGTCACTGCAGCAACCAGGAAGTTTAGACTCAGGGCAGAGACAGCTCTTCAGTGACTTGGGCTGGAGAAGGAGTAAAACCTCAGATGTGAGTGATTGTCCCCAAAGCGGAGCAGCTGATGAGTGAGCCCCAGAGCCCACGCCACACCACGCCGCTGCCTGACATGGTTCTTTCACTCCCAGCACCTGACTCAAGTTCCCCACTCAGTGCAGCTCTTTCTATGCCTCTTATTTTATGCTGGCCAGAAAGACTGAGTGGTTATTGGCCTTGTCTTTTTCCACAACAGGAAGAGAGGGAACGAGGAAGGCAAGGGAGAGTAGGGGAGCAAAACCACAACTTTGGCATCTTTTAATCCCACACCTGTCATGGCCTAGAAAATAACAGGGAAATTAGATTTTATCACTTACAATGCAGTTCCCTATTGTTTTGGTGGAACTCACCTTATTTTAGAAGAAAACGCCTACAGAGAGTCAGATGGGCTTCACAACAGTCACACTGCAGGCATATTGCCGATAAGCACATTTCATAAAGTGATACTACAAGCCAGAACTATCCAGCTAAATGCTCTCATTTGTTTTGCAAAGGATACCATCATGTTTAAACATTAATGCCATTTAAAAGTTCTCCTCTCAGTACACGTTCAGACGTCAGGGCTCCCGAGCAGGCGGGCTGCTTCCCGGGCACTGAGCATCTCCGCAGGATGAGGGCCTGGGACGGCAGGGCAGGGGAAGACGTGGGTCTGCATGGCCCTGCCGGTCGCTGTCCACACAGCTTGACCTGGAGGTGGAGGTGGAGGTGGGGAGAGGGAGGCTGAGGTCCAGTCCACCCTGGGGCTCTGGCATCTCAGTGGCCAGCGTCCATGCGAGGGGCCCTTTGCGGCTGGACAGCGTCTCCTCTTCCTGTCTTGTTCCTTGGTGACCCCGGAGAGCCCTGGTCTGAGGCTGGCAGTCTGCATCCCCCTTCAGTCGGGACTCACAACCTCGCTGGTGGCCTGCAGGCTGCAGGGGTACTGTTTCATCCTCAGTGCCCTGCACTCACATTTTCTTCACTCTGGAGACAGAAGGTCAGGGTGTTTGCTGGCTGGAGAGGACAGTGCCATCCTCGGTGCAGTCACAGCATGTGTGTCGCTGCAGGGCAGTGCACACAGTGCACACGCATGGGCAGGTGCGGCGAGCACAGAGGCTCAGCGTGCCCGTGGGAATGTGCGTGCTTTGCTAAAGGCCGAATACATTCCTTCCTGAAGTGTGTATTCCGAAGGGGCAGAAGGAGGAGGAGGAGGGAGGCAGGCAGCTTTCTATGTTGGGCTGTGAGCTCTCTTGCGGCTCTTTTTCACTCATCCTTGCACTTTAGGGTTCTAGCCTGAAAGCGTTGACAACAGGCTCTTTGGGGCAGATGTAAGCCCCATATGGACCAAGAAATTATTGTAAATGCTCTGCCGTGGCAAATACCCAAATGAAGTGGGAAAGCACAAATGCTCAGAGGAAATCTCAGGCACTAAAGCTGGTAAACCCATGGTGCGGACGATGCCCAGGCTCGGGTCCGCTGGGCCCAGTGACGCCAGTTGTACTCAGTGTTGGGAGTGCAGCAGACACTGGCTGATGGGCATTTACTCAGAAATCACTTCCTTCCTCCGCCTAGTTCACGGCTTCCATGGAAAGAAGACCCAATGAATAAGTGGCAAAGTGACGCGTTTAAAATTTTTATTCTGCAAGTAAGACAGGTGGTTGGAAAATGAGGGATTGGAACAGCACATTTACCCACAGGATGCCAGATGCTGCTGCTGTTTCCGCCTGTGAGACACCGCGGGCTGCGGACAGTCTGAGAGGTTTTCGCTGGGAGGAGGATGAAGGGAATGTGTGGCTGCCACCAGGATCGGTATCCTAAGGTGAAGCTGAGGTCCTGTGCTGCTGGGAGGAGCGGCCACCGGGGGGTCAGCTTCCCACCTGCACGTGGCAGGCTGGGCTTAAAAGGCTTCCTTACAAGGTGAAAACTTGAGGGTCCTAGGAACCCAGAAATTCAGCATCCACTGAGTACCCCACCCCGGGAGGAATTCAGAAGTCAGTTCCGGGCTACACTGACCTGGGAGACAAAGAAAACGTGGACGTGTTGCAGGGTCTGCTTGCATTTATTTTGCATAACTATAGGATAAAGCTGCAAAGTCTGATATTCAAAGCAGTCAGAAAATCTAACCTTCATGTTTTAGAAATCCCAGTGGATTCAGCCACTAAATAAATCTTTGAGACTATGCTTCATTTGTGCAGACAACCAAAGTGTCTCTGTTCCAGATTCACAGCGTCTCAAATTTGTGAGAAGTCACTTCATTTTGTTCTGTAAAATCATCTCTTAAGACACATGATCTTGGGTTACACCCACTCATAGCATGCTTGCGACTCCTTCAGCCACCCCTGCTTTCAGCAGCTGGATTCTCTGGACAGAGAAGTGCAGCCTGTGACCCTCCGGAGAGGAGGTACTCCTGCAGTCAGTGTGCCCCTTAGCCGCGCATGTTTAATAAGTGTGGATTTGGGGGCTGGGTATTTGGCTCAGTGGTTCTGCTGCCTGCCTCACAAGCCAAAGGACCCAAGTTCAATCCCCAGTACCAACAAAAAAAAGTGTGGATTTTGTTTATGGAGCGTTGTTTCGTCTTCACAAGAAAAGACAACGTGTCTGTGCTTGTTAGGCCCAATACCCTTGATTCTGCATTTGCTCTTAGAAACAAAAGACACAAAATCATCTCTGGTACTCACGCAATAGCCCTAAAACAACCCAGAGAGTCACATTTGTTTACTGAGCAGGAATTGAGCTTGGGGTGTGTGTGTGTGTGTGTGTGTGTGTGTGTGTGTGTGTGTGTGGGTGACTCTCAAAGGCATGCGTGGCGGCCATGTATGTCTGGACGAGCTAGAAGACTCCCCCAGCCTGGGCGGTGGAGTCCTCTTTCTGGGAGACTCAAAGCCCATGGGCCAGCCCTGTCCGCCCACACCCACCCTGGCCCAAGTCCTTGTGCAGTCTCCTCTGCTTTCACACAAGCTCAGAGGTTCATGGCCTGGCCTGGGTCGGCCCAGCTTGTGGCAACAGAGGCAGGGGGTCCCCACACTTCCTTACCCCTCCAGACAAGGATCTCCTTGGCTCCTTTACTGTGTTTATTTATTTATTTACTTTTGGTTTTTTGAGACAGGGTCTTATTATGTAGTTGAGACTGACCTGGAACTCACTATGTAGCCCAGGCTGGTCTCGAACTCACAGTGATCCTCCTGCCTCAGCCTCCAGAGTGCTGGGATTACAGGCATGTGCACGCTCAGCTCTTTTACCATGTTTAACATGGGCACCCGGATGTCTTCCCGTTTACTCTGACACCTGGGGACTCTCACACACCTGTTTCCCCCACAGAGGTCACCATCCCCAGATCGTTTGCACGTCTTGTGATTCAGCTTTTGAGATGAGATGTCCCGGGAATAGATGTTAGCAACTCTGACTCTGCCTGTGCATTCGGTGAGGGTTTGGTGATGGGGCCCCTTGTCTTGCTCCTTGGCTATGAGCAGCAGTTAAACTCTGCTGATGTCCGGACACGAGGGTGACAGCATCTTGGGGAGCAGGTGCCAGTGTGTCTCCCCATTCGGTTCCTTTTTAATCCCTTCCCTCTGGCTCTAAGTCCCCTTTCCCCATTTCAATTCTTATTGTTATTATTACCTTTTTCAGTTCGTGTTTTGGACACACAATGCTGACGTGCATTGTGAGTGTTGGGTACTTTACCGGGAATGGATTGAATCTTTTCCTCTCCTCTCCCACATCCCCTCACCTTGGTCTCCTGGACTGAATCCAGTTTGCAAAGGATCCTTCTCCCAGTTTTCTTCTAACAATCCTTTATTTCACTCTTTATTTGTACTTTTCCTTGCTCAAATGAGAGAAGCCACATGATATTTAAGCTTGTGTGTCTGATTTATTTCACTGAACATTACATTTCCCAGGTGCATCCATTTTCCTACACATGTTTTGAATTTATCCTTCTTCATAGCCAAGTAGTATTCCTTTGTATATAGATCCCACTTTTTCTTTATCCATCTGTCCATTGATGGAATACAGGATTTAGTTTTTATGGATTGTCCTGCTATAAACATTGGTGTGCATGTGTCCCTGTAATACAATGTCTGCAGCTCTTTTGCCATCTTTAAAAAGACTGTGGTAAGGAAGACTGCTCCTGAGCTGGAGGCAGGAGCGTTTGTGGTGCAGGGCTGGGGAGATGTTTAGGACAGAGACCAGATGGGGAGCCCCAGGTCTGTCAGTGCTGAGGGTGAGGTGCCCCATCACCCTAGCAGTGACACCCTTGGATACCTCGTGACAAGGGGCCTTCAGGAGCATTGGTATGCTGGACCCCATAAAACAGCAAGTCCGGAATTCCGACAGAAGCAAGACTGTTTCCCATGGGAACTGCCTTTTCTGTGTTTATGGAGTTGGAAAAGTCTTTGCTAGGGAGGAAATCCCAGGCTTCCCTGATTCCAGCAAGCCTGCCAGTTGGGTGTGCTCATGATTGCGGGTGGTGGAGGTGGTGGGGTTTCCCCAGGGAACAGGAGATCAGGATCTGGTGGGGCTGGGGGAGGCTCTTCTTGCTCTGACAAAACCCTGCTGCCTATAGCCCCTGAAGCAGCCTTCCCCCCTCTTCCTGTAGGTCCAACGCTTTTGAGGTGCTGTCGCTGGACGGGGCGCGCTCAGGAGTCCTCCAGTTCCCCACTGCCCGGGACTGCGGCGAGTGGCTGTGCGCCGTCTCGGCCAACATCGGCCGCCTCATGCTGCAGAGTGTGGGTGCCCCCTCCCACCAAACCCTGCTGCCTATAGCCCCTGAAGCAGCCTTCCCCCCTCTTCCTGTAGGTCCAACGCTTTTGAGGTGCTGTCGCTGGACGGGGCGCGCTCAGGAGTCCTCCAGTTCCCCACTGCCCGGGACTGCGGCGAGTGGCTGTGCGCCGTCTCGGCCAACATCGGCCGCCTCATGCTGCAGAGTGTGGGTGCCCCCTCCCACCCCAAAGTTCAAGATGAAGCCATCCGAGTATCTCCTAGTACAGCCCTGCAGGATCACTAACCCTGGGCACTTCCCAGACTGCTCTCTCCCTCCTTCCCCACCTCCTTCTCTGCCTCTTTCTTAGCACACATAAATAGACACAGCTACTGTGTGTGGGTAATGAGATACGTCTGTTTTATCCAGATGCATCGGTACAATCTGAAATGTTTATTTGGGCAAACCTGAGATTAAAAAAAGAGAATTCCCTCAAACATTATTAAAATTTACAAAAGGCATAGCTAACCAAAAATACAACATCTCAAATTTTCACTGCAGCCATCTTGGACAGGAACAAAACATCCTGTATTCTTCAGCAGTACGTTGATATCCAGTCAATAGGGTTATTTTTTCTTTTTTAAAAAGAAAGGAGTAACAAGCTCCCAGGGTGAAGTTCCCCAGGGCGCAGCAGGCTGGCCGTGGGCTCACAGCCTCTGCCTGAGTCCTGGTTCTCACCCGCGCCCCTGTCTGTGTCTGCTCCGGCCTTGCGGCCTGGGGCTGCCTGGTCACTCAGCGGTTGCAACCTGGGATGGGCACAGTCAGACAGAAGCCCCACCTGCGGCCCCCCTGCGCAGTCCCCCCAACTCCTGCCCAGGCCTGACTCAGCCTGCTGGAACAGAGGCGAGCTGAACTCTGAAATCTTGGGAAGCAGCGGATGTGTGAGATTTCCATTCCAAAGCCCTCAGAGCATCCTTTCTGCAGCTATTCAAGGAGGCATCTTCTTAAGACCTTAGTTTGCAAATTCAGACGCTGAATTCCAAAGATGTGAGGGTGGATGAGAGTGTTAAGTTGATATTTGCAAAAATGCTTCTGAGGACAAAGCTCCTTCTGTTTGGGAGATTTTCATGGATTGCTCCAGTCAGTGGAACAGATAAGGAGAGCAGAAATGTGGGCATGATATTTGGACTTTCATTTCCTCACTGGTAAAATTTTGCAAAATAAGCCTGGTGTGGTGCTGCGTGCCTGCTATTTCAGCACTCAGAAGGCTGAAGCAGGATGATCAAGTGAGTTGGAAGCTAGCCAGGGCTGCATAGCGATTTCAAGGCCAGCCTGGAATACATAGGAAGACCTTGCCTCAAAAAACAGCACAAATATTTTTTTTTTCTCTAAATAACATTGACCTGGCAGGGGTTTGGGGAGACTGATGTGAACTGTGAGTGCCTAAAATTATGCAAGCAGAAGCCATCTTCCCACTTTTGTTGGGTGCTGGGATTTGAGCATCTGTTGTCCCATAGCTACTCTGGCATAAAAGCTATGTCTGGGGAGGAGCGATGGAAGCTAATACAGCTTCTCCTCCTGGGAGAACTGCTGCCTGCGTTTGTAGTTCACCCTGTGGGTCTGCAGTGAGAAACAGCACAGTAGAAAAAGATCTCTGAGCCCAGCGGGGGAGGTGGACCCATTGCAGCTGCCTAAGGGGAGGCAGGCGGGGAGCTCCAGCCCCCAGCATCTCGTGGTACTGAGTCCTTGCTGCCTTTTCTCCACAGATGAAGATGGCAAATAAATGCTGCTCTCCTGGCAACCAGGTAGGACTTGGGTTTTTCAGCTTGATATTATAACAAGTCTCCACAAGCACCTGCTTCCTTTTCCTGAAATCGGAGTTGGAAATTTTGGTAGAAGAACATTATGGCCTTTCAAGTTGAATTTGGTTGGCCCGGCTCCAGTGTTACCTTTGAATGCTCTGTCTACATGGAACTAATGTGGGAGAAGAGTTCTGGTAGCATCTGCTCACTGTGGATGAAGGGCTATACTGTAGAAGGAATCAGGATTTAGACCTTGATGTGGGTGTGAGTGCGTCAGCTGTGCCTACAGGGCTGGGACTCCTCACTCTGAGGAGGCCCTTGACCAACAGTGTTGACGCAGGTTTGCAAGGTCTGGCCAGCCCCAAACTCCTGAGAGTTGACTAGCTGGGTCCTCTGTTCCTTTCGAGTCTCGAGTACCATGGATGGAGACTGATTTCATCACCTCAGTGCCTCATTGCTACATATAACTTCTAATTCAGAGAGACTGCTCATGGACCAGCCCTATTAGGATTTAGCAAGAATCCTAGAACTGGGTTGTTTCATTAGAGGACAAATAAAATTTTAAACCACTATATTATTCCATTTCCTGTTTAATAAAGTCAGTTTCAGCTGTACTGGAGGGCATGCTACGTTTTTTAGGTATAGCTCACTGTTTTTCCAGTTATATCCTTTGGGAAGCTGTCATTACAGTCAGGAAAACTGGAAGCAATATGTTCAGTTCTCTTTCAGTGGTGCTACCAAGACTCTTTCAACCGTGTTCAGACGTACCATCTGAGTTCATGACAGAAGGCATTTGGGAGAACAAGTCTTTGCCAATCAAGTGCTTACTGAGGCTGAGAGGAAATCAGCCCTGTGTTTTAATTAAACACTTCTAGCCAGCATTTTAAATTAGAATGGGACGGTAAGAAGAGTTCTAAATATAGTATTTCCCTTAATATCTTTCTAAGTTGAGCAACTCTTGGCATCTTATGTAGCTGAGTGAGGGGTTAGCTATGGGTAATAATTAAATGTCTTCAGATTCATGTAACACAATATTTCCCTGCTGTCCTTTGTGGTTTTATAACAAAGTCTCCATAATCTTCCCACTGAGCGCCCCGCTCTGCAGCTCTCATGCTGTGGAGCATTTCCTCCTGCTTTGTTCCTCACTGGGGAGAGCAGGCCAACTCATCTCCATGAACCATTTTCTGCTGGAAGCTGGATTTCTGCTGGCACAGTGAAACTGAGGAGACCGCCCCACGAGACCCCATGTTTGGAGAGCCAGCCCCCACCAAGAGGGCCGGGCTTGGTGTTTCTGGGGTTCCAGGCCCTCACTGCCCTGGCTGTGCCTGATGGGGAGGGTGATCCTCTGCTACCCACGGTGACTGCAGTGAGCACAGAGCTGACTGCTTGTGGTAACGCATTGTGGGCGACAGCAGAGGACCTGCCAACAGGAGGCCATGAACGAGCCTTGGACACGATCTGGGTTGGGCAGCTCTGGGTTCCCCCGGTCTACAGTCAAGTCTGTCTTGCTTTCCTTTGGAATTCACCTTCTTTTTTTTATCACTGAATCAAATGCAGGGAAGAGGAATAAAACAACAGCTTGACCAACTGAGGAGCATGGCTCCCAGGACCAAATGTTAAGCAAATGATTGTTTACAGGTACAGCCTGAGTCTCCCTCACTTCATCTTGGAGAAATTCTACCCTGTATCAAGCATGATTATGAGCATCAGTCCTGGCTGCCTTAACTCGTCTAAAATCCACATTTAATCACCATCAAACTCCTAGCTAGGGGCGTAATTTGAGCACATAACTTCTGAGCTTTAGTTTCTTTATCTGTACAATAAGAAGGATGTACTGGGCAGTGTGAGTTCTTTCTCTTAAAACTGCTGGACCACTTGGCATTCCTCAGGGGTTGGAGTCTGAGTGTTGGGAATGAAATGCTGGACTCAGCTTCACTGCAAAGCAAGGATCAGGAGCCAGCCTGAGCCATCTGGAGGGGCTGTCACGGGAGGCTCATGTCGCATTTCTTCAAAATGTGCACACTTTTTATGTGTTTTAGGGCCCTACGATATAGGCCCCTTTAAACACAGAAAGGATTTTTTTTCTCACTCTGGACAATTAATTGATTTTGGCATGTAGCAAAGAAATACCACTTGAGTAAAAGTGGAAAAAGGTTAAAGCATTTGAGAACCACCAAAAGTGCTAAACCCAGACAAAAGAAAACAGAAAGACAATACAAAAGGAATATGTGGTGTGATTAAAAAATAAGTGAATACTTAAAAAATTTTAAATGCATTAGAGTAAAGGACACATTGCCATGAATCCCCCTCATAATCCTTCCCCCTCATTTCCAGCACACTCATCCCATCGTCCTCACCACTTCCTGCAGCAGCTCTGGAGTCCTCTTTCCTGAGGGTCTTTAGTTGCTCTGTCCTGGCTGGAGACCCCTGGAGACCCCTGCAGTTACGTTCCAGTATCCTGCCCAGTATACGATGCAGGACTGAGAAATAAAACTAAAACACAGAACTAAAAGAGAGAAAGCGGGGGCCAGGATTACCAATGCTGGTGCAACCCCCGAAGGTGCTGGCCAGTCCCAGGCCTTGACTTTTATTGGCAGTCAATTGGATTCAAGGTGAGCTATGTGTGCTTTCTATGGAAAGTAATGTAAACAAGGCTCATAAACGACAAGACACAGCATTCTCGAATTAGGAACAGAATAGACAGACTATATGCCTGTGATTAGAACATTGTCCTTCTAGTCAGGAGGCTTTAGTTGTGGGAAAGAAATTCGGGTGCAAGTTACTCTGACCTTGGCACGTGGGCTTCGGCCAGACTCGCTTCTATACACAAGCCAGGTGTGGGGTTTGTTCTTCACAGCCTGCTTTGGGCAGAATCAGTATTAGGGTCCCCTGCACTCTCTCCTGAGGGCCTTTAGTTGTGCTGCCCTGGCTGCCTCCATGTCCCGACTGCCTCCGTGTCCCGACTGACAGTGCTGAAAAGTGATCATATCAAATAAACCATGCCGATCTCAGCAGCAGGTTCAGACTAGGTACTGAATTCCTGTTAATTTTAGGAACATCAAACATCCACTGAATTACCTAGAAACGTGCGGTTTGTTAGCAGTGGAAGTTGAGCCGTCTTTGACAGCACTGCTGTTGCTGGCATAACCACCTCCAGCCGACAGATGTGGAGAAGCTGATAGGATATCCCTAAGTGATCTGTGAACTTAGCTTCAAATCTGGGAGGTGCTCAGGAGCAAGTAACAGTGTGTGGTTTTTGCAGAGTACTGGTGTTGTCTGAACAGGGTATTACTCCTTGTCCCTTTCCTGGTGACATGGGAACAATATTAAATTCTCACAATTGTCTTGTGAATTGGGTCGTTCCGTTCCCACCGGTGACAAAAAGGGAAATGTGAAGTTGTGTCCAGGCCACATGTGAGATAGAATTGTGTTGTGCTGCTTGGTACTGGGGACTGAACCTGGGGCCAAGGCTACACAAGTGCTGTCCCACTGACCCACTCCCCAGGGTGATTGCTGTGCTTTTCCAAAACTGTTACCTTGTGGTACTGACTTCAGCCTACAGTCTTTGCTAGACATGAGGTAAACCCCATAGGAAATGTACAATGCCAGTGCAATGTTGGGGGTTCATAAAGCTCTGCGTATCTATGCCAGGCAAACAAAATTAGAACTCTGCATGCAGCCGTCTGCATCCAGCATGCAAAGCCAGGGCAGCGCTGACTGCTGAGCTGTCTGTCAGCTCCCCTCAGCGTGTCCCCGCCCTTTCTCTGTCCAATCAAGAGGCACAGTTTCTGGATATCTGACTGTCTGTGACGTTGGCACCCTGACCTCCTGCAGCCTTCCTCGGCGTGGGTGGGAACCCTCAGGGTGGGTCCATGTTCCTGTACTTGGGGTCGTGGCACTGTTAATGCGTTCCTGCTCCTGCCCAGCCCTCTGCTTGGACCTGAGAACCACAGCCCCGAAGGACTTGCGGGCCACGCTGGTCCCATTTGGTACGGTACCTGGGGCCAGGGCCATTTAGTAGAGTGGTTGGGAATCTGTGTCGTCCTGAAACGGCACATGCCTAAGGACATATTAAGGGACTGGTTTTTTCTTGAAATATCAAAATGAGGGAATGAAAAAATTAAAATCCTATTCCTCCTGCCACTTGCTAAAAAAGTATGTATCTTCACATTTTAGGCACAGAGTTCTTTTTTTGGGGAGGTACTGGGGATCAGACTTGGGACCTTGCACTTGGCGAGGCAGGCAGCAGAACCACTGAGCTAAATCCCCAGCCCTAGAGAGTTCTTATATTGCTATTTCTGTCAGGTATCTGAGAGTTTTTATTTATTACTTATTTTATTTATTTACTTTTGCTACCAGGGATCGAACTCGGGTCCGTGTGCTTACAAGCCAGTGGCAGAAACACTGAGCTAAATCCCCAGCAATAGCCGTATCAGGTTCTGATTTTTGTAGTTTGTATTTCATGTCATGAGATTTAAACTACTCAGTGTCAGTGGTAAAAATCTAGTATTTCTCTATTATTTTCACAGTTAAGAGGTTAAACTGTTAAGATAAACAGCCATTTTTCTACACTATGTGAACTTGTGTGTTTACTACAGAAGTAAAAATGTAATTATCCAGTTTTATGTCCCCATAGAAGGCTCTGAAATGCTAACCCCTAGCACAATGTAATTCAGTACTGTGAGTTTAGAAAGTGCATGGAACGGAGCCCATAGCTGAGCTCCTATCTCGAGCCTGGCCCAAGAGAGAACTCTGGATATTTAGCCACAGATGTTTTCCTTTTCTCTTGGGTCTGCCTGATTTGGAAGTCTGGCCATGGACCTGGGTTTCCCACTTTCTGGTTCTGGAGTGGTGGAGGGAGACCTTCTTGTTCGATGTGTGTAACATGTGCTCCTTGGACCCCCATCAAGGCTGGGCTTTAATCTTCCAGGTTTCCCTCTGCAGGTGGTGCACATGGGGTGGGTGTACGAGAGGCTGCAGGGAGCTGACTCCCCCCAGACCTTTGCATCAAAGTTCCTGGCACTGAAGGGCTCGTCCGTCTACATCCTCTGCTCTCCTCCGGTAAGGACCCTGGGGCGGGCTTGCTGCTGTCTTCACTCCCCTCAGAGATGCAGCAGGCAGCTGGGGCTGGGTGAGGACAGAGACAGCTGCTTGTCCCGTGGCCAGAAAGGCTCTGATTATGTATCAACCACCTCCTTCCTCCCCAAGCTCTACAGGAATCCACTTCTGTCTTCCGGTTCCAGCACCTGTTCAGATGTCGTAGTTTTCCTGACAGAGATGATCAGTGGGCTTGGAGGTGGGCTTCAGAAAACTCTGAGTATTAGCACATCAGTTGTGTGGTTGAAGAATCCAGAAAGAAGCAAAAAGTACCAGAACCCTTCTATTCAGACATTTCTGACTGAGTAGCCAAATGCTGAAATTTTAAAAATATCCTTTTCTTTGCATTTGATTAAAATAAATAAGCCTGCTTTCATAGAACTGAGAATATAAATGTAAGGTTGAATGCAATTGTCTAGTTTTATTTTCCAATTCCCAACCACACTGTTCTCCCAAAACTGAGCAGGTACGTTGTGGACCCTGCCTGACAGCTTGCTGGGAAAAGGAGCCGCTCCGTCTGTGAATCTGACCACAAGGACAGTGAATGAACAACAAAACTTGGTGGCTCAGGATGAAGATTGAGTCAGATTGGATGCGAACCGCAGCCTTAGAAGTCAAGAAAGCAACAGTGATCTTCAGACAGAAGACAGTAGTAAACCGCAGGCTTTCTGTTTATTGACAAGTGCAGCATTTTAAATAAGTCATTCTGGAATAATTTTAGGCTTGCAGAAGTTGATGCCTCCCTTAGCTCCTTGCACTGTGCATACCCTACATAGCCACTGGATGAAGGCAGATGGCTGACGAGTGCTCCTTAGGAGAACTCGTGATTGAGTACACACCTGCTTTGCAAACACGATTTTCCCTGTCCCATCTGTATGTACTTCTTCTCCCTGTCTTTCTCCCTGTTTTTCTCCAAGTCCTGGAGCTCTTCATGCTCAGGTGGTTTTCTCACAGTTCCACTAGTGCACAGCCTACTGTCCCGGGGATGCTGTTCAAAAGCAGATCCTCAAGGCAGTAGATCTGGGTCACCTGAGGCCCAGCCTCTCCAAGTTCCAGGGGATGCTGAGCCCTTCCCAACAGACCAATTGTCTTCTCAGAAATGAAAGGCAGCTTGTACCTGGAGTGTAGAAGTCTGCAACAGGTTGAGCTAAGTAGATGATCACGGCCACTTCAGAGGGGCCTGATGAGGAGGATACTCTCTAGACTTGCAGTTCTGTGGCTGCACCATGGGCTGGGCCAAACTGTAGTGTCACCCTGGCACCTGTAGTGGGGGCACTGCCCCTGCTGTGCTGTCAGGAAAAGCTCTGGGCTTGTCTAAAACTCAGGAAACCCTCCTGCCTGTGCCTCCCAGGTGCTGGGATTATAGACCTATGCAACCACAGAGCAGCCACCTTGTGTCTATGAGGTACATTGTTGCGATGAGGAACTAGTACTGATACACCAGCCTAACTGCAATAACTCAAGTCCTACTAGCCCCTCATGGCTTTCAGGAGCTCCCAGATACAGGGTTTGCTCCAGACCCAGAGACTCTGAGCATCTTGGCAGCTACTTCACCTGTGTCTCTCCCCGGGCAGTGTCTCCTGAAGTCCATCACCATGGCTCTGACCACGAGACGTGTGATCTGATTTATGTGCATCCCTGGAGAGAGGAGTCCAGCTCTGGAGCTGGGGTGGAGAGGGGTCAGGTTGTCCCCCTCCAGAGATGGACGTGACCCGGGGCAGGAACAATAACACCAATGGTGAACAGAGAAGCCGTTGTTGGTCTACTACAGGTGCCCAGGAAGAGTTGCTTGGTGAATGCGCTGTGGGCCCAGTGGAATGGGGGAGGAGACAGGCTGCATCTCGAAAACTGGAAAGAGCACAGTCTCCTCCCATCTTTCACTTAGAAGGTGACTCTGATGGTTATATGTGGGTAGCAAACTGGTGAGGAAAAATGCATTCAATGCAATAGAATATTAAGATATAATGTCCTTTAAATACACCAATCATAGCTCGGTCACAATGGCTAATACCTCAGAGCCACTTAGAATGTAAATCCCAAAGGCAGCACTGGCAAGCGTGATAAATGTGCACACTGACATTCTAAGCAGTCATGAGAATTTTGTTTCTGAAAGAAATGATGACATGGGGAATGCTGATACCATTACATTTTAAAAAGACATAAAATTATGAGTGTGTACAATGCATATATACAGCACCAAGGCAGCCCTTTCAGGGAGGGCATCTCCAGAACATGTCTTCATTCACTGGTGCTTTTCAGATTCTTCAGATTTTGATCCTTTGTACTTTTGAGATGAGCAGCATTGTCATAATGGGAAATTTAAAATGATGCATACAGAGACTTTTTTTTTTCCAGTGGTGTGAATAGCCCCTGCGCTCTGCCAGGAGGAGGGGCTGTAAGATGCTGCAGCTGGGAATCTCAGAAGTTGGGAGAGGTGGGGTTTGGGGATCTGTGACACCAACTTTAAGCTGGGGGGTGGGTCACTTAGCGTCCTGAGCCCTTGCCTAGGGAGTGTCTTCACATTAGTGGTCTAACTGCTCCTTGTGGCTTCAGGCTGTTTCTGAACCTTGTTTTTTATTGTTGAAATCACAGGGCAGCGAGTTGGCTCTGGAGAGTTAGTGCCGAACACTCACACTGGCCCAGCTTTCTGAGGCGGTGACCAGGAAAGCCAGCTCAGTCTCCCCCACCTCCTCTTTGGTTAAATGATCACTAGGAATTCGCAAGTGGTTTTGGTGCCTCCAAGACACAATACAGCAAGCTTTTGATTTTTACTGCTTGAAAGACTAGAGGCAAAGCCCATAGTAAAATAAATAAATAAATAAAAATCTATATTTGCTACACTGTGGACTATTTTCGATTCTCCATGACAATTATTTTAACTTAGAGATAATATATGTGAATATTAATTGCAAATCACAAAGCATCACTCAAAACTGAATTATTTTGTCATTATTGCTAAGAGAGCTGGGAGCTGGATGGTTTAGCCCAATCAAAATCAGGTTCAGTTGATTGGTGAAATTTTTATCCATTCCCGAAACAGAACTGAGCAGTTCTGAGCTGAGGAAGTCCAAAAGAGCAGAGGGCTATAAACAATATTTTCTCTCCGCGATCACAGCCCTGAAAGTTCACACTCATCTACTTACACTAGCAAACTCATTTCAAGTGCTCCATGTTTAATTTAATATCGGACCTGAAGTGAACATGGAAAGAATCTAAGACGGATTCTCAGGATGTGGCCTGTGGTGTCCAAGGGAAGTCTCTACCTGGCCTGTGGCTGTCTCCACGCTGCATCCACTGGCTGAGTCATCCTGGATGTTGGCCCGCTGGCCTCCCCTGAGTCCGCCAGGGGCTGGTGCTGGCTTAGGGTTTGAGTGGGAGACGCACTGCACCCACCTGTGCTGTGCACGTTCACCTTCGCTACCTCGAGTCGCTGGTCTCTTCACGCATCCACTGTGTGTTTCTTGCAGGTGAGCACGGCAGACTGGGTGCGGGCAGAGAGCGTCCATAACCTCTGTGAGGTGCGATTTAAAGCTCACAAGGTGGGTGTCCTTGGCTTGTAGATGTTTTCCTCGAAATGAGACACCCCTAGCTTATGCAGTGGACTGATGAAATAGCAAAGAAACGAGCCCCTTCTAAGTCCATCCTTCTGTCCTTTCCAGGATGGTCACTGTGCCAGGACTGGTGAGGTAGGTGGAGAAGGGATGTGTGGATGGATGGGTGGAGAGAGGGATGGAGGCATGGAGGGAGAGACGGAAGGATGGGGGATGGAGGGGTGGAGAGATGGGTGGAAGGTATGCGTGTGTGTGTGTTTTGGGGGAAAGATGTGCTTTAATATTCCCAAACAGAGTGACCTATTCCAGGAATTTAGTTGTTGTCGTCCATCTTTTTGTGGCTACAATTTTTGTTGAGGATGTTTTAAATACACAAGTACAACTCTGACTGCCAAAAGCGTTCATTTAAGTCCGGACTGGACTGACCGGCATAGCTAAGGAAGTGTTCTGCTGCTATGAGAGGGCAGTTTCCTCCCCAGGGGTCACACCGGGCTTCCAGGATGACCCAATTTAGCCACATGCTGGCCAGCTAGTGAGCCCACTCCCAGGAAGCATTCTCGGTCTCCACCTGTCAACCATAGTGCAGGTGGCCACGTGGGGCAGCCCTGCTCCCCCGGGAAGGGTCTGGGGCTTCCCTGCTGGGTGCCTCAACCCTGCGTGGATGGGCTGCTGGGTGTAGGAGCACAGAGGCCATGAGCCACATGGGCAGAGGCACAGGTTATTTCCCTGAGAAGGAGGCCTGGCAGGCTTTCGCTTTTGTAGAGAAAGATTTACAATACCAGACCGCACAGAGAGTTCGGATGCTGAACCGGAAGGGAAGTGTGGGGGAAGGAAACCACGGCTCCTTCACACTGCTCCAGTCTGGCCCTGGAGGAGCTGGGG